AAAAATTCTCTAAAAATTCAGATTAAAAAGTTCAAATTTTGATGAAAGTTTGTTGAACTTTCCTAATTTTGTGTAACTTTTTTGTATAAAATTTTATTAACTTGGATTTAGTATATCGTCACTAGACACGAATAAAGGCGCGAGCTCAAAAGTTGACCGCGAAAAAAGACGCATAAAAAACCTCGGCGAAAAAAGACTCTTAACATAGTTGAAGGCGAAGAAAAACGCGTACACTTATTTTCGCGGTTATAAATCTATATTTACGCGTCTTTCTTCGCCGAGGTTTTTTTTTCAGCATCTTTTTTCGTCAATATGGTTTTGCTTAAAGCTTGAACGGTATGCTTATAAAAAATAACAAAAAAATTTAGCTCCGAGAACATTTCGAATATTAAGAAAAAATCAATACGTGGTCACTTGTTGGAATCACTGTATATTGGCGCGTTGGCACGCGAGTGACCCAATTTCTGACTTTCCTGTATCTCCATTGCTAATATGTACGTACATATGTATGTAGTATGTCTGCAATGGCGCGCATCTTCCATTTTTCATTGTGAATGGCGTTGTGGCCGCATTGTTGCAGGTAAACAAATGTGGCAATAACTTCTGCAAAACGTGTTTTATAATTTTTTTTATTGAGCATTTCTTTTCTTTCGTTCTAAAATTAATTGCCTTATTTTAAAGAACATGTTGCAATAAATTGCGTCTACTTGACACACACATATTTTTTATGTATTTATATACTTAGAAAGAAATGGAAGCAACTAACAGCCAAGTGTGTCCCTCATTTAGACCATCCCCACTTCGCTAATGTACTATGTACTACTCTGTCCATACGTACAAATGTACGTAGTATACCCTGTTTGTGAGTTTTCTTATTACATATTTATATTACAAATTCAGCCCTAGTTACTTTGGTGTTGTAACAGTTCTGAGCAACTGTTTGTAGTGACTTCCAAACGGTTTAGTTGGTTGCCAAACAGGTTATTCTGGTAACAAATATCTGCAAGCATTCGCAGCAATGTCTTGCGTACTGGTGACCCTTTCATATATGTATGTATACATATGTACTTACGAGGAGAGGCTGAAAAGTTTTGAGCCTAAAGTATTAATATAGCTTATATATATGTATAAAAATTGGATTTTTCTATACAATCTCCCTCTACCTTAATGAAATTCTTACATTTTTCAAAACGGTCAATAAAAAAATATTCGCCATATTTGTCTTCGAAATGCTAGTCTACTGCCGCCCTCATTTCTTCTTCACTCGGAAATCTTCGTTTGCGGTGGTTTTTCATCAAATCGGAGAATAGTAAGTAATCGCTGGGGGACAGGTCTGGACTGTATGGTGGGTGCTTCCAGCGACTGTGGTGGCAAATGAAGGTCCACACTGTCGACATCTCTCCAAATGTTTCCATCGGTATTTATACTACTAAGGATATTAGCGATTACAAGACATTAATGATACATAAAGGTACTCAGACCCAAAACTTTTCAGCTTCCCCTCGTTTGTATATATGTAATAACTTTTTAGTTCCCACATGCAGGCAAATGCAATGGCTTGACTTTGGAGTTGCTTGGCTGTAAGTATGTAATTGCTTACTGACTGTTTAAGATTCAAGTTAATGTAATGTAATGGCAAAAACCGTTACTAGTGTAATTAAGTTTCATATTAATACATACAAAAACAATAACTATTTATACACTATAACGGTCGATTGCGAAAAAGTACATAAATACTTAGACAAGTTCTCGCACAAAATTTTTTTTTTATGGATATACATGTCGCGTATTTACGAAAAGATTGTCACAAGTCAAAAAACGAGATATTTGATTTACTGATGTTAACTTAGTCATTGTATCATGCTGCGTATTATGTAAAAACTCCATGCTTCATTCTAGTCTAGCTTCGGCGCGAGAAAAGAATATGCGAGATGCAGTCTTTACACGGTGAGAGCGAATTGTGGAATTTAAACGTGTCTGCTACAAAAAAAAATCGTATTTTGAGATGTGACAGTTATTTTAGCACATGAGTGTCTGACATTTTGCTGCGCATTCAATTACATTGGTCTGTTCTCATATGTAGAATGTTTTCTCAAGATGCACCTTGAAATTATTGTATGCAGTGACTGGGCATGTGGTGACTGTGCTGCCATGAATATGGATGTAAATAGTTAATAACTGCTTTCCTTGTAGCTAACGCACCCTAGAAGAGGTAAACCAAAAGAAATCCACTTCAAATCAACTTTATGTTCTATTCATTTAGAAATATTTATGTTGAAGTAACAGTACTTGAAGGCTATACAGCTTATTACATATGCAAAAGAATATACGGTAGGAACTGGTGAATAAAGCCAAAGGTTGTCCTCTGGATGCACACAGACCAATACTAACTTACGGTGCATTAGTTTGGTTGCCAGCACTAGATAAACAATACAGGTGCTACAGGAGCAATTACGTCATGTCCTTTTGATGCGTGTAACGTGATCCAGTAAGAACTGACCTTAGAACTACACATCCGCGAAACTGTTGCGTTCTCGGCAATCAGACTCAAAGAGCGAGTCTGATTGAGAGCGCTGCAGCACGGTCAGAGTGGTATTCTTGGCAAGCTTAGCGAATTAGAGAAACAATCAGATTATATAACTCTTACGATAGATTTCAGGAAAAACTTTCAGGTGAAGTTTTCTTCTAGACGGGATTGGAGACGGGCTGGATAATTGAGGAGAATTCCCGGAAATCTATACTGACGAGTGAAAAACAGACTGCGGCGTGGGTGCTCGGATGTTCTCCGTGAAGCTGAATGTCTCTCTCTCGTTTCGACTACCGAACTTTGCCGGACAAACCCTCAAACCAGCAAAACTGTGAGGAATATATGAATGCAGTATGAGAAACCAGAGACAGAGGAACTTCTAACGAGGCCGAAAAAAGATATAATCAACCCATGGCATTGCAGCAGAACCTGACGAATCATGAAAGCAGATAATATCAGGGATCCCAGAGAAGAGTATCAAAATGGTGCTCTTAGCACTATATGAGTACTGGGCAAGTGCTCAGTCGATGCTTTTACCAACCAAAAAACCAAATTGATTCGCGGAACTTTAATAAAAAGTATTCATTGTGCGGCCGCTGTTGTGTGGTGGTTAGCAGTGCGCGCTTCCACTCCGCAACGGGGTTCAAGCCCTGGTCAAAGGAATATCTAAAAAAAAATTTATAGAAAAGAGTTTTTTTCTTAACAGCGGTCGTCCCTCGGCAGGCAATGGCAAACCTCCGAGTGTATTTTTGTCACGAAAAAAACAGCTTCTCATAAAACTACAATCGCCGTTCGGAGTCGGCGTATAACTGTAGGTCCCTTCCCTTTGTGTGAAAACATTAAGGCCCACGCCACAAAACGAAGGAGAAGCTCGGCCACACACTAACTTATCGAGACCTAATCGCCAAAACGACCCTAGTGACATTTTTTTCAAAATTTTATTTTTGATGCAGAAATGTTGCCAGAATGAAAAATAAAATTTTGAAAAAAAGCAAATTAAATAAAAAATGACAGCGTTTTCAAATCCTTTAATTTTTTATTCATACGCTTATAATAAAGGTGCCTTTTCGATTTTTTTTCAAGCGTTTTATAAACCAAAAATGTACTGTTTGTAAGCTTTATGTTTATTTTAGTTAATCTTTCAAAAACCTACTTTAAGTTTATTTTGCTTGTCGGGTTTTTTTAATACACACCTTTTTACTTTGTCTTTTTTTAGAATCATAAGCTGAAAAAATTCGCACAATTTGTCTCGTACCAACGATGGAATGCTCCATTTATTTTTTAGTTTTTCAGAATTTTTGGAACATCCCCTTCTCCTGAGCTCCAACTGCGGTGGGGGCAGCCATGAGTTGAAGATGACTTTTGTAAGATATTTGCAAGGTTTTTAAAGTAATTTTTTTTGGTTATTTTTTCATAAAAATCAAACTTTCAAACTTAGAAAAATTTTGAAAATATGTATTCAATTAAATACTAAAAATTTTTTTATATGCAAGTTTCGTGGCCCATTTCTCTTACGGCGGGTACTCTTTCATGAGCCGTGTCATTGCTTAGGGGAAACTGCCAGGACACGAAACATCGATTTCGCAATCATTGATTGGAGGCACGGGTCTTCGCTAACTCCAAAATTTTCACTATTGTCGCCATTCGCTCACGTATTTTAGCCTCTATCTTCCTATTTCTTGTAATACGTCTCTTTTACCTTTCTAACTCCCGACAACGCTTTCGGGCAGCTCGGGCAGTCTGCCTTTTCCCTAGCGAGGAAATCAACCAGCCGAGAAGAGGCACCTTCCTTATCAGGGGAGTGAAGATACCAGGTGCATGCACTGTGAAAATCTGGTCAAATGTGGACTTACAAGGCTGTAGGCCTGAGAAGTTGGGTTATGGAGGGCTTCATTTGATAGGAAAAATTAACGAAAGTCAACAAGTTAATAATTAAAATTTTTCTTGAAGACAAAAGATTTCACTAAATTGCAATGCAACTTGAAACACACAAAAAGCTGGCAACTCTGCAAAACTAATTGTTAGCCCAATTGTATTATGGGAACCTGCGACATAAATGCTACATAAACAGAGGCAACATTCAACGTAGGGGTTTGCAAAGTAAACAGCTTCAAAAAAAGTATTAAAAAATCGCTCACTCGCAACGCTTATGCGCTCTGCTCTCACTTAAAGAGCTAAATAAAAGCCAACAAATGAGTGCATAACAAAAGAAAAAAACTTCACTGAAAACGGTGAGCTTAGATACTGACTAGGCCTGACTAAAAACAAAAAAATGATGTGAAAAATTGAGTTACCGACATAAACAAGAAATACTACAACTGCTTTGCAATTACGTAGACGCAGCGGCACAATGAATAAAAAAAACACGAACAATGCACACTGCGCAGCCGCAATGACAGCAGCAGACTTCGAGTAACAAATAAAGAAGAGATAAAGCAGCAGTGATCATGGAATTAGCAACAGTAGCCAATATTGGCAACACTCAGCTGTGGACTTGTACTTCGCGCCAGGCAGAGACTCTGAGGTAGCAGCTGTGGTCGCACGGGCAAAGTTGGTGACTCTGTCGCTGCTGGTAATTGTGACGCCAGTTTGTGGCCATTGTATCGGCGCGGTATTGGTGGTAGTGGCTTTTGCGCTATCCGCACAGAGACAGGCCTCGTTGTTATGACTTCATGAGCTCGTAAGCACAACCAGTTACGATTCAACTTTCATTCCGTGCTGACGTATCCGGGCGTGTTGAGTATGCGCAGCGAGCGCTTTGAGTGTTAACCGATGTCGGTAATGATTCTGTAAATGGCCAGCAAACAAGGAATCAGCGGGTACTTAAAAGTATATATTTTGGAACTCATTATTAAAGTGATTCTGAATTTGTGCGATTTTTGCATTCAATAAATGCATAGCGCGGCGACTTACGTCTGCTAAACAATAAATAAAAAAAAAAAGAAAAACAATTGCGCTAAAACATTAAGTGCAAAAGTTGACATATTCAGACACAATCTACTTGCGCCAGCAATGTGAATACAGAAAACCTTCTGTAAAAAAAAAAATGTAACAGTGAGCTAAATAAGTGCAAAGCCAACAACATTTGTGTTTGAAAGTAACAAATTAATACCCAAACCACCTTCGCGTTGGCCGCTTTTGAGAGCATTTTGCGTATGTGTGGGTGTACATAGTATACAAAATTGCAATTATATTATATTGGAAGTGTTAATGAAAGGAACAATGAAAAATGCGAGCAAGTTGCGTGGCTAGAAATATATAAAAATTAAGGCAAGCAAAAAAAAGGAAAAAAAAAGAAAAAAAATATGTAGCAAACTAGGCATAAATAAAATCGAAAATTATATGATGTTGGAAATATTCATTGAATGCATAAAAACTTGCCTATTCACACCAAAGTATTATGAATGTGTGTTGCATATACATATATGTAGGAATGAGCAAAGCGCATGCGATTATTTATTGTCCGTGTTTTTTCCTAGTTTTTTTTTTACGAAATAGTTACACGAGGTCAATTTGTGGAAGAAAACATGCTTAATAAGGTACTACATACATACTAGTTGGCGAAGGGGTGGGCTGTTGAACTTAAAACTACATTAAAGTGAAAGGAAGTAAAGTTGTAGACATGCGAGCAGGAAACACACAAGCGGATTAACGAAAAATAAAGAAACTATAAACTTGTTTGGATATGGAAAACAATTTTTTCACATGAAATAAATTAAAAAGTGCTTATAACGTCTTGTAAAATTATGAAAATATTTTAATACTTATTTTCAAGACGTTTTCGACAACTCCAAACGAAAGACTTAAGGCACAAACTTTAAAAAATGTATTACTTAAGTAAACATTATTAAATTAAAGCAATTTAGATTTTTAATGAAATACATAAGGTACGTTGCACGACTATAAGGTCAGTAATATTTTTTATACATATATTTTGGAAAACTGATATACCGCAGGGGAGCACAATTTCGAATGAACGCTGTACAAAATGCCACACTGGAGGAAATGTGGCTAATAATAAATGCGCGTTTTACAATTTTAGTCAATTAGTTAGTTAAAAGCATGGGTATACCAGCAGAGGAGACAGTGCAACCTGAAAGGTCTATTTTAGCTCTAAAAATAGTCCTCGAAGAGCCGAACCTGAGACCAAAAAATAGTTCCGGCCCTAAAAAGGCAGTCAAAGATCCTTCTCGCGCCAACTCGTCAGCGACCTCATCGCCTTCCATCCTGCAGTGATCTAGTAGTCAAGTAGTAGATGTCAAGTTTGGATTTTATTATCCTGTTTCAGAAGGCCCGGATGCCTGCCTGTCTATCTGACTAGACATGCGCACTTCCAACCCTTTTCGAGGTTTAATCTGCGTAAGTTAAGATTGCTAGTCTCTTAGCCTAGAATACTATGAGTCATCAAAAAAAAAAAAAAAAATATTTGACGCTTACACTAGACGAGATCTGGACTTTTCACTTGAAGGTCTGTGCCAAAGAAAATCTCTTTAGTTATGGAGTCGGAGATTCTGCATATTTCAAAGAATACCTGCATTAAACCTCTTTGTATAGAAACAGTCGTTTCATAGTCGAAATTGCAATTCCCTTGTGTCTGTCTATAGTTAGAAGTAAACTTTAGAAACGTTTGGAAAATAATCTTATTTTATACGATCTCTATTCTTTAAATACAAGTTTATCCTCAATTTGTTCCTGCATACTTCCTGAATAACCCATTGAGGTGTTATTAGTGGTGCATAAGTCTATCGCAGGGACTGCAAATAACCATTAAATAATAAAAAAACATATTTAATAGATCACTGAAAAATTGTTATTTTTTCACTAAGTTCAAAAAAAGGAGGAGGTTAAAAATTCGTCGTCGTAGCGGTGCTTACGTATAAATTTGCTTTAGTTCCGACCATTGGATCATGAAGAAACTAACGGTACTTCTAAAATTTTATATGAGCGTTGAATAGGTTTTTTTTTTTTAAATTACATAATTTGTTTTTATTTTTATTTTTTCGGTCGAGAATAATCGTTTTTGGATATATATTTTATTGATCAAAGTTAATCACGATTTTGAATTTTTTTTTTCGATTACAAATAATAGTTATTTTGGATCTTTCCATCATTTTAACCCTTAAAATGAATACCGAGTTTTTATAAACATTTGAAATCTTTTATGATAAATAAAATTAAATCTGAAAATAACGATTGTCATATGATCGAAAAAATATAAATCAAAAATAACTATCGAAATTTATCGAAGAATAAATAACCAAAAAATAAAAAAATAGAAACCCAATTTTAGCGGTTAAAGTATGTACTTTCATACATATATGTAATACTCCTATATTGGCAGTAAGAGCTAGTACCGTCCGAAAACACTACAGTACAGATATATCAATAAACACGTACGAAAGAAAAGGAACACATACGTTTATAAATAAACATGTACACAACACATATACAAAAACGGCACTCAAGTACACAATACATTGACAAAAATGGTACTAGACTGTCTCGCTTTGATTTCGGAATGCTTACACATTGAGAAGTTAGCTTACTGCCAATATAGAAGTATTACATATCGATGGCTGAGTGGAAGATCGACCTATCTCGGCAGCCAGTTCGAAAACCCCCTATCTCAAAAAACTTTTCAAGAACACCCTATTTCAGAATTCGTTTCAAAAACGCCCTATCTCAGCTGCCGATTCAAAAACGCCCTATATCAGCATATATTCAATACATTTTGAAGTGAGATAGGGCGTTTTTGAACCGAATTTGGAGATAGGGTGTTTTTCAATTAAATTCTGAAATAGGGTCTTCTTGAAAAGTTTTTTGAGATAGGGCGTTTTCGAACTGGCTGCCGAGATAGGTCGATCTTCCACTCAGCCATCGATATATGCTTTCATATAAAGATCTACAGTTTCGTTCCCTGTCTATTGTATATCTTTCCATCTTTACAGTGTTTTGATAAACTTGCCGTTGACTGAAATCGTAGACGAATTATCTTTGTACATACATTGAAACACGTTTTCGAACAAATTCTTTATCAGGCTAGGCCCGACGAGCGGACAGACTAGCCGAAAATAGGAAACAACTCCTATGTGAACTTGACTACCCGATAATCCTGCTGGAAGCATCATTGCATGCCATTTTTTCCATCCGATATCGCAGGAGTCTTTTTACCAGAAGTTGTACGTAGTCTTCGCTCTCGGTTCCACCACTTTGGCCTGAGTCGACTTTCCGCTTACCTTATAACTTTGCAACACCTTGCAAGTATACATACATACATATGCATATTCCATATAAACCAATGTTGCTTCTATGATTTACTCAGGGCCGGATTAAGAATGTGGGGACCCGAGGCGGTTATATAAGTTGGGGCCCTTTTTGAGTTAATAATTACATACATACAATTTATTGAAAAAAAATATATATTTTCATTTTAACAGTATCGTTAATTATTGACTTTTTCCCACATGTTTTCTTTTGAAATTCTCACCTGAAATCCTTTGTACTTGCCGCTAATGTTGCATGCAGTATTAAACGACTGACCCTAGCAGTCTCGTTTATGAACAGAGATGGAATAGTACGAATATTTTGTCTTTTTAATCCGGCTTATTATTTCTGTCCGTATTTTCTCACCCCTCAAAGTTGTTATTTCCTCGCAGGTTGTTGATAAATAATTCACGTACCCTCGTTCCTTATTCCTGTATATTTTAATATGTCCGGGGGTCTTTCTGAGCTATTAGTTCCAGGGTCCCACGGAAATTTCCATTATTGGGTTAGTCGAGAATCTCACCAGAGGCAGAAGAAGCTAAGCTAGGTTCCGATGTATTGATGGTGCTGACACATTTTCTTAATATCCAGCGATCTTTTCTGTAATCTTTAAAAAATTATTATTTTTTGTTCTTTCGTCATCACACGTGGGGGCGCTGGGCCGCGGCGCGGTCGGCCGTGCCCTTAATCCGGCACTGGATCTACTATTAACTAACCTTAGTTCATTTTAAAAGTTTGTTACTTGAGTATTTCCTTTAAGATTAAATACTGACTGGGAAACTAAAGTTTGGGGTTTTAAAGAAGTATACAAATTTTGAAAACAAATTTTAAAAATTTTAATTATTTTCGCTTTTAAAGCCAAATTTTTAAACTTGATTACAAGGTGGGTACCGAACTCGCAAAACTTGCTTTATTACTTTGAAATTTCAATGGCAGGACCATCTTACCTTCAAATTGCTTCCAAATTGATAATAGTAA